GGCGATTTTTTTGCGTTTCGTATTCATCGGCGAAGAGTCAATACGTTCTTTTTGTGCTCACGGGTTCAATTGTACTTCACGATTTTCCAATGCATTGAATCTTAAAAGAATTGTGTTCTTGTCCAAATAATCAGGCAGTACGTCTGATTGGTTTAAAATGTCGAAATATGGTCTTGCTCCAGGTGATGTTTTCAAATCGCAATATTGTATGAAGAAAATGACATTTTCGACTTCAAATATGCTTTTATTGGTTTTAATCGTAGAATTATTTCATATTTTAGCGAAATGAACAAAAATATGCTCATTTCTTTATCAATTTATATTAAAATTAGAGCTTTTTTGTACAAATCATCATTTTAGGTGAATTTTTGAATAAAAAAGCCGAGACCAAAATATAAGAAACCGAGTGTTTTTTTGTGCCCAGACTCCATTATTTTTGAAAAATAGTAGGAGTTCTCTAACATAAAAGCATCAAATTACGCGTATTTAAGAAACCTCCCCTAGAAAATGACCATTTTTCAAAAGATTTCCCACAAAAATGGCTGTTAAGAAACCTAAGTGACGAGAAACAAACAAGTGATAAGAAGCAAGTAGGAATACATCCATTTTCTCGTCACTTTTCATTTAAAATTTTATCTAAAGTGACGATTTTTACAATAAGCGTTCATTTAAAGCTAAAGTGATGGAAAAGTGAATGTATTTTTATATATTTCGCTCAAATATGAAAGAATCCTTCGATTGAAACCAAAAAGTTTGACAGGATGGTCGAAAAATCGAAAGAATTGAATTTTTTTCACAATGTGATAAAATAGAATTTGGCTAAAATCGAACAATTTCAGGTGACGAATCCAAAAAAGAAATAAAATTTGATACTTTTTGGGGTACTACATTTCTTATTTTTACTCTGAATGTTCAGTAACCCAAAAATCAGTGCCGATGGATTTTTGGGGGTACCTTGAGTGTGCGCTGGAAAGGGCTTGTAAAACCCCAACTTGTGTGAAAATTTCATCCACGGATGATCTCATTGAGATTTTTATTTCGACCACCACCACAGAGCACACAGGGGCAGATATCGGGAAAAAATTTCGGCGTTTTGAGTTTTTGGCCAAACCCAACTTCCATGCAAAATTTGAAGCGATTCTGAAAACCCTTGTGAATTTTGATTGATTTCGTATGGAATGGTCGATAATATGAAACAATTATAATTATTGGATTAGTGTAAAATATTAAATTATATTTAGAAAAAAATTGCCCCCCCTCCACGCAAAACAGTGTTGCTACGGCTCTGCCAAAAGATGGCCATAGGCCGGCCAAATGTTAACTTCCAAAACTTCCATTCGGTCAGAATTTCGATATATTTTCATATCCAATACTAAATTTCAAGTGAAAATGTTCAAAAAACGTAGAAACAAACGTTTCATAGGGGTATCCAAACTTATGGCCTGTGGTGTATATGAGGCGCATCGATAAAATAACATTTCGAACATTCTTTGTGCAAATCAGTACGGCAACATTCGGCGCGATTGTTTCTTTTTATCCAATTTTCATAGTAAATTCAGCTTTTTAGTTGTTATAATTTGTTAAACTACAATACTGGACATTATCACTTTTTTAGATGCATTATTTCCCTACGTTTGGAACCTTTCTACTGCTATTGTCTCAAATATTTATCGCATGCTTACTGGGTAATTGTGTTCAGCTTACGGTATGTATTGATTTAACACATTTGAAGTCGTCAAATGTTTTCAAAACTTTTACGGTGATTTAATTCATTAAAATTGAGTTTCGAACGCAGCATGATCGGATCTATGAATCTGCATTACTTTTGGATTGGCATCAATTGAATATGAAGGAACAGTATTTTTATAAATTTTTCTTGCGTCGCTGTCAAACTCCAAAATTACCCACCATCGGAGGCTTTATTCCGCTAAACTTGAATTCATGCATTAAGGTAGTTGGTTTAGTTAGACTAATAGAAGAACCAACTTTTGCTCTTAGGTTGAATGAACAAATATTTGAAATGATTTTTGTAGATTTTTGCCCGAATTTATACGATTACTTTGTTGATCTATACTATGATGCGTGACGAAACTACTTGATTTTTGAATTTTCTATCGCATGATGAAAGACCGTTGGTTTATGGACTAACGCTGGTTGTGAAAATTAATATTTCAATAATAATTTATTCACTTTTATTTGCACTAGTTAAAAACCTTTTTTTTGCAAAGTTGCTTACAAACACCATGGATTCTTTGTATTATCTTGTCCACAAAAATACCTAGTTATAAGAAGTATAAGTATATTTTCATCAGAAAAAAGTGTAAAAATTGATCAAATTTGAAAAAATCACATAATCACAATTAATATTGAACTATTGTATTATAATGAAATTGTAGCTCTGTGTAACGCCAATAAAAGATACTCTCACAACTTATTCACAGCAATAAATGTTTATCATCCATAAAGACGCAGTTGTTTCAGTCAAAGACTGTTTTATGTCAACGAACGAAACAGAAACCCTTTTGTAATGATATTATTAAGAAATAATTGATAACGCGTAACTTTTCCGGTTGCGTACAGGCCAATTGCTTCACAGTTTGCTTTTCGGTGTGTTTACATTTGTCGCCATAACCACATTGACAATGTCAGCGACTTCAATCGCACAGCCATATGATAGCGTAACACCGCTGCCTCCATGCCCATAATTATGAATTATTTGCAGCTGTTTACCGCGCTCTGGAATGCCAATTGAGAAAAACAACCGAAAAAACACCATTACGAAAATGACAATCCATAGGCAAATAATAAATTAGCCAAACGAAACAAGAAAATGTTCAAACGATTGATCATCATACTCACTCGTTGTGTATGTATCTCGTTCAAGTCGCACTTGACTTCGGCCCGGTCGCAATCCGACCATTTCCTTAACGATTTCGGCACGTTTTATGGATGCATTCATTCCGATACAACCTTCATAAATAAATTTTCTGTCACCCGCATCCACATTTTGATTGTAGTCATTCAATTGATGCGTTCCGCCCAGGATGATTGTGTGCATGCTGCGTATGATAATAGAAAAAATGGAATTACTTTTGTTTCACATTTCTCAGAAGAATAAATATGGCATACTTAAGCGTATGCCTCTGTTTGTCACAACAAGGCAAAGGCAACACTTTTGCTTTCTTTTCTCCTTACTTTGAAATTATATAATTTCCATCATCCGAATCGTCAAGAAGAACATCAAAGATCCAAGGTGCTTTAACACGCATCACTTGACCCCGAACCGGTTTCAATTCGTAATCATCTTTGATTAGCACCTGAGCACCAAGCCCCGTGCAATTTATTACCAAATCAAAAGTGGCCACTTCTTCGAATGATTCAATACGTTTGCGTTCGATGCGTCCACCGGCTGCTTGGATGCGTTTGTACAAATATGGTAAAAAAAATGTTGGTTCACATATAAATGTATTGAAGTGAATTCCATACCTAATATGGGTGATTTGAAATTAATTGCATTCAATAAAAAGAAGAAACAATTTGAAGCGTTGATTAGATTAGATTGTTAATCTATACATTGATCGTTCATAATTGTATAATTTACTTGTATTTGCGTTTGTGTTCAGCGCTTAAACGTTCCAGTGTCTCCTTAGTCATATCAGTGCATCCAAAAACGACATCTTTCCATGGCACATCATATGACTGGTCTTCGGTTGTCATTCTTGTGACTGGCAAAAGAGAAACACCAGCCTCTTCGGCTACCCCATCTTTCCACAGTTTATGAAAATAGTTGTGTGTATCCTTTGACCATGTACTGAAATAGATTACCTATATCTAGGTATAACTTTTGATAAGAGGGAAAAAATAAATTGTTCACGTATTCTTTTCTCCATATAATTACAAAATTTTATCCTGTGGAGTATTGCCTAGCTGATAAGGTCCCCATAATCCAGCCTGGAAAAAAAGAAAATCACTATAGAAAACCAGTTTTATGTTGAATATAATTCAGATCTGACCGAGATGTCACCGGTTGTCTTTGGAGAAAATTGATCCGAGAAAATGGTCAATGATATTCTGTTTGCGAACTGCTCTTGTAATCGAATCGCTGTGGTTGTTCCAATCACACCTGCTCCAATTATTGCAACTTGCATGGTTGAACTCATTTAAAAATACTTTTTTATTTATTTTGGAAGCAAAACAACTTACTGCACTGGCAACAATCGCAAAATAAAAGCTAAATGATGCGTCGTGGCAATGCACTGTATCGTTTTCTTCTATCAACGCTCTTATCTCTGGTTCATGTGTTTGTGTATTCATGGAAAATATTGCCACGCAATAGTCAGTGGCAAACACATGTTGTTTGATTGTCGAGTCTTTGTGTGTTTGAAAAATTTAATGTACTTGTTATTATCATTTGACGAAAAACTCAAACAATCGAAAGTTCGAAAACAAGAGCCTGTGTTTACTTTGCAAAAGTAGAGAGCAAGAGAGTGTATGTGAGTTCACAGAAGTTTTCGAAGCGAAAGATTGTTTGGTTGTTTTCTAATTTGGGTTTGCCTCAAACAATGTCGTGATAAGTGTTGCTAATCCTCGATTAGACACAATTTGTAGCATCGAATATAAATTTCTTTCTATTTTGTTTTATGATGTTGTTGGCAGTTGTTGAGAAGGCGTCTCTTCGGAACATCAACCCAAAAGATCAAGTGGATTTATGTGAAAGAGTTGATTGAATCGGAGTAAAAGCATTGATTTTGCATCCGATTTTCGCTTTAATTTGTTAATGTGCTAAGCTTCTAAACCCTCATGATATGGACGCTTAGTTTTGCGTCACCACAGTTTTGGATTATTTGTCGAAGATTTGCTCAAGGGTGGGTTTGTATGTGTACATGTAAGTATGTGGATTGATTTTGGCGTCAGGCAATGCGGTCGCAACGCATTTATCAATATATTCCATAAAACTCCGCCTGAAGAGCCCCATTCACGCAGACAACCAGATAATTGTCGATTAAGGAACGGGGCGAAAAAAAAGATAAAGGCAGAAAAAAAACTACATGGAAACAAAACTTTTGCGCTTGACTCTGGTGTTGGAAATTTGCTGTAGGATTTAATGCCACATACACACATGGTCACGAGCAAAATGGTCGAGTTTCTATTATGATGTAAGTATACAGACGCAGACCCAAATCACTTATGATCGCTGTAAAACGTAATTGCTGCAATTATATGCCAATACATGCACACATTTCAAATGCCTACGAGGTAAAGTGAAATAGCTCAAGAGTTAAAAATTATTTATATATTTTTACAGTATATTTATGCCTTTCCACTTTCCAAATGCCAACGGCTGATTTTCAGACTGTGTGCTTACCAACACAGCATAACGACCGTTTTCATTGCTTAACGCACATATCAATGCATCGTTGAAAGTGTTTTTGGAAGACAACTTGATGTGGATTCCAAGTCCATTAAAAACCTTGACTTTATGCACATTGCAATCGAAAAACTATTAAAAGCGTCCCATCAACTCATAAGTTAATGGCCAACCACATTCGATATTCTCCCACAGCATTTTGTGATCGAAACCATGCTTGCGTATAAATCAAATGTAAGAGATAAAGAATAACGAGAGAGGTCGAACGAACGAACGAGCACGAAATAAAGAGATACTCGTACTTATCTATTGATGTGATGTACCGCACAAAAAATCTTATAGATTCGATCAAATAAATTGCACTATGGAGAAATAAGACAAAGACTTAGTGGAAAACAATTTCGTAAATAGCAACAAAAACCCGGAGCAATCTAATTATTATATTGGAAAGATTATCCTTATTTGCTGGTTGAGAACAAACGAAATGTGAGTGCACGGGTTTGGTTGGTGCTTCTTCTTCTTGGCTCTGGCAAATAGAAGATTGATGCAATTGAGACTCGAATACATATTCTCAGTTTACGCTTACACATCACGTAGCCTTCGCATTGCGATGTGGACTTTTAGTAAATTTCTTTCGGATGATTGCACCAGATGTGTGCGTGCAGGTTGTAAACACTCATAAACTAATAGATTTCTGGGATTTGGTTGAGAGACAGAGATAGACAGACAGCCACATAGATAGGAATATGGTAAAAGTGGCAAGAAAATAACTTTGAAATGTTTGTTTTATAGAAATGTCCATCATGGAAATGAACACATTTCAATGTTGCGTCTACGGCTTCTGGTCGACCATTGTACGTACTGTACACGTATGTCGGTCGAGTGGTGAGCAAAGCTTATCTTGCCGACAACAGACAATTTAACCTTTTATTTTGTAGATTTCTTCATTATACGTCGCATGAAAAAAATGTTGAAACTTCCTGATTTGCCCATCAAAAAAGCACAAGGTTAACAAGAAGAACCCAAAACACACACACACACACACACTGGAATGCATGTTCATGCGGACAATGTAACTATAGTATCGAGTATTTCGGAATGGATTAACTGCGGAGAACCTTCATCATTCTTGCCCAAGATGAAGCAAACACTACCGAAAAAACCCAAAGGAAACGGTCACTTCAACTGATCCAACGGAGTGAACTCGTGTATTTTTATGACAAATTATACACACATGCGAGCGAACGAAAGATGCGAAAGAGCCTAACGTAAAATTCAGACAAATGTATGGCCGTGTATTTTGGGTTGTCATACTGTTTCGTAGTGTACCATAAAATAATACGGTTGTATTTTTCGAAGGTACAAACTGGTATGCGTATGACCAACCGAACGGCTCACTTCATACTCTCGGAATTCAAAGGTGGCAAACTAAAACACATATAGTGTAAAACATCAGGTAAAATGACATTCCACCAACAATTTTAATACAATGGAGATAATCTGGCATTTGGCCTACAATGGCGAAAACACAGTGGGTAATTTGATGTTTTACACTATATGTTTTTTTAGTTTGCCTCCTTTGAATTCTGAGAGTACATATTGTATAATGTGAGATGCGTTTTGAAGTTTACGTACGCATTCAACATCCAAAGTGATTGGACATGGGAGAGGCAGCACGAGAGGCAGATGGAAAGAGAGGAAGTCCAATTTGTTTGATGGTGGTACATACTCGGGTTGAACATACACACACTTCCCAAACATAATCATCGAGTGATATAAATAGCGATATCAAAAAAATAGGTAAAACAAAGCATTTCAGCTTGTTTATGTGGCCCGGACTACGAGCAGACAGCATGTTAAAAAAAGCGCATACAGTGGAGCACCGTGTGTGTTATGTGAAAACACGTTAAGCCTTTTTATATGACCATTCGCCAGTGTGAAAGCGAAAAAAGGTGAAAATAAAAACACCGACCAAACGATTGAACGACCGAATCAACGACCGAACGAGCGAGTGACTGACTGAGTAGAAAAAAAAACCGGGATCCAGTAGCGCGCACATCGAAAGTCGAGAGTGATCTCGGTCACTGAGACTCGCACACTGTTTACCGCCGTTGTATAATACTCAAATGTGTACAGTGTACATTGTACACAACTGTTTGTTATGACGAATATCCAGAATGAACGAACGACAGCGTAAAAAAATTGTACTACACAATTTTGTATTAAACAAATTGGCTGAGATTTTGTGTAAGCACACACATCGACGGAAAGAGAGACAGAGAGAGAGGGAGAGAGAAGAAGTACGAGCCAGAGAGCGAGTCAACGAATAAAAATAAATTTCATCCGATGCGAATTGGTATTCGTAGTCGTATTCATTCTCAACCCCGGTGCGAATATGAAATTGGTAAATGTTTTTTTTCCCTCGTTTTACCTCGTCACACACTCCGTCTTCATTCCGTTTCGTTTTTCTTTTTCTTCGTTGCTGTTTTTATTTGGTTTTCACCGCCTTCGTCGTCTCACTTACTCGCCCTCATGCGGTTGCGTTTGCATTGCGAACAACAACAACAACAACAACAAAAATGTATGCTTTTGGAGAATCGTGCGTGTCTGCAGGTTAGTGTTTTGTATGTGTGCTGCGCTGTGCTGTAATGTGCTGGCTGCCACCTTCAATGACGATAAATAATAATAAAATTTATTAATCTTTTCGAATGGTATTGCTGTTCGCTCGCACTGCGTGAGATACATTCCAACGTATATTATTTTTATGCGAAAGACAGTTAGAGCTCGAGAGCTTTTAGGTAAATATTGGTCACATTTCCCAGAGGTGTATTGCAAATCTTTGGAGTGTTGTTTCGCACATGCAGAGCATGAAGTACGTACAGCTTATGCACAGTACACACAGAGAGACACACAGACATACACACACATTTTCAGTCTGTTTCTTTCGCGTTGCTCGCGCGCTCTCTCGCTCCAAATAACCAAAAGAAGAAAAGTGTAGCCAGCCAAGCGTTAAGCACATAAAATACCGCATTGAAGAAAGAAAACATACTTTTTGATCCTATGTTAATACATTGGCAGTCGTAAGCAAGTGAACGATCCATCCCATACCACAAATACACCGTTTATACAAAATCGCATTCGAGGTCTGAGCAGCCTGTGTGTGTGTTTTTTTTCTTTTACTGCCGCGCGAATCTTGGATATTCTAGCTTTTGGCGCTCGATGGGATACTAGACTTGAGGTGAGTGAGCTAGAGTGAATTAAATGCCGTGCGCCACCATCATCATCTGGAGAAAAAGAAGCGACAAAGATGCTTAAAGTGGAACGTCAGAACATAAAAGCAAGTATGCAAGAGGTAAGTTCATATTTGGCCTTTCGACAACGACAACGACAACAACGGCGACGGCAGCGGCAGCGGCCAACAACAAACATTTGGCGAAATGTAATATATTTCTGCTTCACGCTTGAAAGCTAAACGCAAATATCAGAAGAGCTCATGTATTGCTCAATATAATACACATACTCTCAGTCGTTCCCGTCGCCGTCGTCGTCTCGGCCAAACTCAATGAACGGATGCTTCTTACGCTGAAATGAGCTCGAAACACACAATCGCCTTTACCGAACGCAAAACTCAATTGCAAACGTGCACGAGTGAGACGGAGCAGCAACAACAGTGGCAGTAGAACGTGAGAATTCATGTGATTACGGCACGATGATACACATAATAATGTAATGTAGCGTATCAACATTCGAAGAATCGTATTATTTTTGTATATTTAGCCCATTTTTTCGACTGTGTGTCGAGCTCGGTGTGTGTGCTGGCTCCGCTCATTTTGAGTCTGCTCGACGTTGTGCCACTGAATGCTGAGCATCTACGGCATTATTTATACGATTGTGCATGCACTGAATTCCATCGGCTTACTTGCTTCACTTGCTAAATTCTCGCTTGCTTAGACGTGTTTCGTGCATGTGAATTTTTTTTTGACGCTTTGCAATGATTTCAAAAAATGACACACATGATATCAATAGTAGCGGGAACAATGAGCAAAACTGCTTTGAGTTGTACGAGAAGCCAGTGTGCATAGCAATGTCACAAGAAGTGCTGAGTAAAATTTCAATCCCAGAGCCAGAAAAAAACCACATTACCAATGTACATAAATACACGCACCAAAACAACAAATCAGACAAAGAATTCAACTCGAATGATTTGGTACTTTTGTTTTGCTCCATTCCTTCCCCTCCCCCATCCTCCCCCCACTCTCTATGTCTCCCGGTTGCATTTACTCCTTTCCAATTTTTGCCATATCCATGTTTCACATTTGTTCATCGATCTTCGGATACATGTGTTTTAGCGTTTTATTCTATTTATTTTTATATTTATTCTGTTTGATTACAAATGTTATTGTTGCCGTTGGTGATGATGGCAATGGTGATATGGTGTTCGATTTGGCAATGGGACGGGTGACATGGATATATATGTATATGGTTCTTGAAAAAAAAATGAAAAAAAAAAACAATCGAAATGCTACCACATATCATCGACACATTATTGTTAATATTATTATCGCACGAAGCAGTTATTGTTAGTCAATCGCAATATCGTGTAATGGCCGGATACTGATTCCGGATTTTTCGTATTGGATTTTTCTAAATGCTAAGAATTGCCTTGGGGTGATTGCAACGATAAAAACAAAAATAAACGACCAACCAAATCTCATACGACTTTCTTGCGCACAACTACCTCCTTGCCGCCCTTATTGAATCGCAAGCGATATGCCATGTATGTTTCTTATCCCGGAAAAATGTTTACCAATCAATTTCGATTCGTACATTTTCTCTTCTCCTTCGTCTCAGACTCACTTTGATCGACAGATTTAATAATCAATTTTGTTTCAAGTGTCGCAAAGCGTGTTCCCCCAAAAAGCACCATTGCTCTTATAAATTATCCAGCTGATTAGTCACTTGTTTCTCCCTCCCTCTTTTTCTCTCTTGACACTCAACTCTCCTGTGGTACGGTGCATCAACTGTTTGATCCAACAAACGGGATATGTTAACTAACCATGGAGAGAAAGATGTGTCATCTAAAGTTCGTGGTTCAAAATATATACATTTTCCATTCCTTTTAATTTTCTGTAGCAGCTTGTGCGTCAACTTCGCATTTTGATTAAATATTTTATAAAGAAGAGGGAAAAAAACGAAATGTTTGAGTGAAAAAGCTGTGATTGCCACAAATTCTGATGGAAAATTCACGCATTTATTTAGAATGAGCTGTGAATGGCTTTTCATCCAACTTAAAAACATCGGTGTTAATGGCCAATGTAAGACGAAAGAAAAAGTCAAATCTACGAAAATCAATGTACGCCTATTAGTCACAATACATTCGCACGAAGGAGCAACGGAATTAAAACGAAACCAAAAAAAGAGCCAAATAAAAAGAAAAGACATTATCGAAAAAGAATGAGAGAAAGAAAGCCGGGAAAAAAAACTGGCAACAAAAACAAAATTCATTCGCTCACTTTCCGATTCATTTGAGCGTCTGCAATTAGGCAAATAAATAACTAACGGTCTCTTAAATTCACAGGCGGTCGCCCGGCCATCATCATCATGCGATATGAGCAACAGCAGTAACAGCGAAGGTAATAGCTCAGCACTGCCACCACCAACGCTGCCAGAAGCAGCAGCAGCTTCAACCATATCAATTTTCATTGTGGATCGTTGTAACAGCAGGTATAAGCGTCTACAGTAACAGCGTAACACCTTTTCCACACATAGCGCCAAAATTGAAATGACATTTTTTTATTGTCGGATCGCTTTTTCCCTCCATTTGAAATGTATAATGTGCATTCTTTCGTTTGAAGGGGGCCTTTTTGTGTTTTATTAGTTTTTTTTCCCTCTTGTGTTCACTTTTTTTGTTTCTCTATCCCTCTCTCGGTTTCTCAGACACCGTCTAATGCCAGCTAATATTGTTAATCCCAAAAATCATTCCATTTGGTGGAAATAATAAAATAAATACAGTTGTTGGAGAAGACGAGTGTCCAAGTGCAGAGGAATGCTCCCAGGGAAAAAGCAGCAGCCGAAGAAAAGACAGACAAAAAGCATGCAAAAAAGGAAATTTACTGTAAGGGTCTATGTGAGTGTAACTATTTAAATTTTATCCAAAGCTGAAAAGAAAATACGGAGACGACGACGATGGAACAAAGGCGAAGAGAGCGAAAGAGAACGCGTGCGGTGACGACAATTGTACAGAGTATTGTTGCACAATGATATCAACTATGACGATGAGGACGACGACGATGGCGGCGATACGTTAGTTAGTAAAGCGGTCCGAATCCATGGAAACACTGAAATTTATCCATTAGTATTTCGTTCACACTCTCCACATACCAATTTTCTTATGCATCATTTAATTTTGCATGTATTCAAGTATGCTAGATTTTTTAGCAAAGAAAAACCGTTTTGCTAAAGCACACAACATGGGATACATTTGGGTGCCGTTTTCTAATACGTTTTCAATGGTTGAACAGCGACGACGGTGAAAGACGAACACAATGCACACGGTCGAAAGCAAAAGACGAAACGAAGCAAAGGAGCAGCAGCAAAGAAAGCAAAACGGTAGATTTGGTACGGCAAAGGCAACGGCAGTGGCGGTAGTCGAAACTCCATAAATTCGCCCGAATGCCCGCCAGCAGTGTTTGTGTGGTGCGCTCACTGGGTGGGATGAGTGAAGGCGAAGACGGGCAATAGAGAGATTTCTTATGCGAAAAGGATGGGAACATCATCGAGACTTGTGATGGAATCGAAACGGTTTATATCAACACATTGCTGAACAAATGACCAAGCACCAGAGCGAACGACTCAAACGGCACAGCACACATGGTTGCACGAATGTGTGTACAACGGCGTTGGATTTGGTTGTACGCATCTGATTGTGCGCGAAGTCAAAGGCAACATTTCCATTCTTTTGGAGAAAAGAGGAACCATTACATACAGACGCCGCAATCGGGATTTCTTGTGTGAGAACTGCATGATATACACACAGTACAGTGGTGCTAGTGTGGATTGCTGCCACACATGAAACCGTATCCAAACACAGCACCATTTCAAGTACACACAATTCGGTGCAATTTATTGTTGCCATCAAACAACAAATTTCTTCAGTCCAATATGCTTCTGCATGTTATTTGTCCCCGTAATCGCACTTCGCTCGCTCACGTGCTGTGTGTGTACGGTTGCGCTACGACTCGAACGAGTTTCAACGACGCACTCCAGATATATCAATGACAGAGAACCGATACAAGAACACAACAGCTGTACATGTATTCAACTAGCATACAATCCAATGGATGTATATACATTGACGCGTGCGAGCTGCTCGATTTTTTTTTGTTCCACCATAAAAGCTTTAGAAAATCAGGTTGAAACGATACACAGGACATGCATGTATTTGTATGCGTGCGCATTTCCTTTCATCATACGGTCTGTGTGTGCGTTGAACGTGTAGATGTGTGTTAGCAACGAACATTTTTGAATGTGTGTACGTGCGTTGGTCTTGTTTTTTGCTTGTTTGAAAATGGTAAGGTTTTCATGCATCTCTCAGTCGACTGTTTCAACTAGATGGTTCAACATTGACGAACGATTCTCGGTGTGTATATGTTTTTTCTGAAGTTTGACATTAAATCTACTACTCAACAGTAAACTCTGTCAGCACACTGACAAACGCGGAAAATTTTTCGGATTTTTTTCTGTTTTTGAGTGAACGCTTGTAATTGAAATGCATCTCTCAAATTACAAAATAATGAAAAGTGCTAAATGTGAGTGCATATTTTGGGTGAAATTCTGCAAACAACAGTGAACGCGTCAGTAAATCAATGGAGTGAATCATGAAATGTTTGCTGTAATCAAATAAAAATTGCAGCGAGTAAAAAGAAGAGAATCAAAGCTCTGCAGGAGACGAGTGCATCAAGAGAAACAAAGCTTTCGGATTTTTAAAACACCATTGAGCATTGAGTGAAAACTTTTTCCACAATACCACATCATCACACGGAGGCAAAAAAAAATAAACTTTGGAAAATCGCTGAAAATTTTCAAGCCTAAAAAAATTATTATTGACAAAAGATAGGAAATTGTTTTAACGTTGCTGTTGTTTTTGAGATTATAGCCAGAATTATGGTTTTGGTGAAATGGACTGTGACGATAAACTATTCAAAACACCTAAAATCTGTGAGGGCAAAAATGATGATTGATCGAAGCTGTTAAAGGTAAATATTTACACAATGCTTTTTATACATAGCTGTTGTTATTATTTTGGGTAATTTTCTTTCACTCCGTGCATTTACGCTTGAATCGACAAATGTGAACACATTACGCGTTGGTTACAGTTGCATTGATTTACCAAATTTAATTATTTTACTAGTGCAATATTCAATGAAGCATACCATAAACGGGACGTTGAACTCTCAAATATAACATGACAAAACAACAATATTCGCTGCTCACTCCCTTTCTCTCTCTCTCACTGCCGTTCAACAGAATGTGTTACATTACTCGCTCGATATTTTCCACAAACGTTAATTTACCGCGAATATTTTCGCCATACGTGAACAAAAAAATGCTTCGTTGCTTTCATCATCAGAAATCGGATCAATCGAATGTACATGTAATATATCTAAACAAGAGTTGCGAAATATAATCGTTTTACCTCATCGAAATACAAAAAAATGAAATAATCGATAATTGCTCTTCAATTTGCAGTGCTGCTGGCTTCGGCTGCCGCCGCTGTTTCCTGTTGCCATAATTGTTGTTGTTGGTTGTTATGAACGATGTACTATTATTAGCAGCGCTTATGCTCGTTATTTATTATGTATTAATAATGTTGGCGATAATGTGAAATTCAACGTTTCGAATGCGACACCGTTTATTTCGCGCCTGCTACAATACGGTTCTTTGTAGGACGGCCATGGACTCAGGAGTACGACAGACCGAAAAATACAATATGAGTGAGAGTCAGAGGGAGAGTGGGCGGAAAAGAGAGTTAGAAGAAAAATCAGAGAAAATATTTACGAACAAACATATAATTCCGATGAAAATTTCATCATTTACGCAAATATTTTCAGCAGAGAGAACATGGTTCGGTGGTGATTTTGTAATTTACATTGGATGCACAGTATGCAATGCACACTGACTGAAATGTGGAAGAGATAAAACAAATGAACAATATGCAAAATGTTGAATACGTCTTCCGACATATCGACTATAAACACCATTTTCCATAATGAAATCACCAGATTCCAGCACTTTCCCTCTTTCAACACCGAAGAAGAGTGAGTGCGTTAGCCCCATACAGAGAGAAATATAGAGAGAGGCAAATTCGATATATTCGCTTTTATTTATGAATTTCGGCCTCCCGTACAAACCAAGCAGCAATCACTTCAATTTATATCGGTATGCAAAGTGTGGAAATTTGTGCAAACAATCTTGGCTAAGTAAATAGGTTTTTGATGTTGGCCAACAAAGTGAGTTGAGTGGTGGAAATTGGCTATGACTAGAACAACAGTATGTATGCATAAAGCCATTGCACAACGTGGATAGACAAATATTTGTATGGCGAAAAAAGAATTCGGAACGGCATTCGATATGAATGCAATAAACATATTTTTTGTGGTCATATGAGGGGAGCGGGAGATGGAAATGGGAACGAGGAATGGCATAGAAAGCATACAGGCGTTTGTCGAGAATGTGAAAACGACATTATATGAATGTGCGGCACGAGTGTGTATATGTGTGTATGTTATGTGGATTGGCAAATAACGTTAAGTCGATTCAATGAAGATATGACAATGAATTTTTGCTGAAGACATAATGGTGTGTGCTGCATGGAACCGATATGACAAAAAGACGTATGAAATCCATTTGCAATTGCTCGCTGCTGCGATGCTTTTACACACTCGCCTTCTCCCCCTTCGCCCGTCTTGAGTGTGTCTCCGTGCTTCAGTCGTGCTCTTTCCATTTCGATATGGCTCTGTTCGGCAAGTATACAAACAAATATATGGATAGAAGCGTCTTTTTCAAGCATAGATTGACTGGAATTGAAATCGGTTTCAGAAAAATACCAAAGCTCATGCCATTTCATTATGGTTTTACATCAATTTTTCAGTACAATATACAATGGAACACCAGAACCATTGGTACCTATGGCATTTTGAAATGTACATATTTTCGCATTTGTTGTTATACATTTTATCGTTTCATTTTTCTTCCTCTCTCTCTCTCACTCTTTCATTCATTCATTTTCTGTATCTCCGCCATTCTGTTTCATTTCAATCGAGCAAGCTAGCGGCGCATTTGTATGCCCACATTTTTCACTTCATCATTCTTATTGCGCGAATATTTATGGTTTTTATTCTGCACACAAAAAATGAAATGAAACGAAACCAAATTGAATACGGATGATATGTGCGAATCGGATGAATAACATTCGTTAAAATGTTGCCGTGAACGTAACATTTTGCATTCAGCATTGCTCGCAACAGAACATTAGTGGTTATTTTTATGTATCTGGAGAGCGTTGAAATGACTAAAATTATTCTACTTATTTACGCAATTCTCAAGATTGCAGCGCGCGTACACAGAATCAACTTTTAAAAGTGCCTCACATTCTTGCATTCGCATCCACATTTGGATGGCACAGAAAAAGCAAACCCGAATGCGCGCTGCATTCCTAGTGTATCCTCAAAAATACGAGCGCACAAACACTCATATCCAATCCAACACACACACGTACGGGATTTAAGAGCGCGCACCGATGAAACTCAAGTTGCCAGTAAATAAATAAGAGTTTTCTCATGAAAAATGTAGCATTCCTTGTTATTCTAACGATTACGTACATATACAACAAATGCTATCGCAGTGGCAAAACATGTCTCTATTATCCACACTTGCACTGTCATGAACTCGATTCTTTTGCTCTTGCTCCCATTCCCTCTGCCGCGTGTCTCTTGCGTGTATCCCATCTCTCGCCTAGTGTAAGTTTTCTGCATGCACATTTTCATAAATGTAATTATGCAGTGCGTATATGCCATTTATTGTAGTTAACGTGATTTTGCGTTGTTAAACCGTGGTTTTCCGACAACTTTTTTTTTCTACATCCATGCTGTTATCTACTTTTCGTCATTCGGTTACATTCATTTGCCAACTGCCTCTCTCCCTCTGCCAACTGCTGTCTTTCGGTGTCATTCAACAATACGGGATGAAGTAAATTTTATGATAAATCATAACTGAAAATGAGAGGAAAAAAATGGAAAATGAGGCAAAATTAAAACGAACGAGAAAACGAAGCAAAAAGCAAACGTACGAAAAAAAAATAGAAAATAAATGTCACAAGCTTAAAATGCTCGTGTATTTTGCTGGCGCGCGCGTTTTTGTCACTCAAATGTGAAAATAAATCCGTTTAGAAACATTGAAAAGTAAGCCATGGCAAGCGACTAAAAATGAAAGCAAAAATACTTAAAAGATGCAAATGGCATCCCGTTTCGCATAACGATTGCTCGCTCGGGACGTCGTCGTCGTCGTCATCGTCATCGTCATCGGCGTTGTGGTATGTACGTAAGAGAGCTGTGTGCTGCCATGTCCAAGCCATTCTCTTATGATTTTTCATTTTTTGCTCGTTTCTTTCTTTCTTGCTGCCGTTGCTTTGGTTCGCACATTTGTTGGAGACACAGAGAAAACGGAAATGTGCTTTTTTTCCTTGGAACTGACGGTCGTCGTCGTTGTCGTCGTCGTTGTCGTCTTTTTCATTTTGCGCCGTCATCATCATTGCCATATTATAAGTACGGGAGAGAGAGTGCGACTCGTTGGCAATAAATGAGCTGACTCGATTTCAAATTCGCTATGTATATTACTTTTAAATGACATATTGCTTATGGATGAGAAAACTAGAGCAAAATACACAGACACATACACACAAAGAAATGAAATCAAGCTGCAGAAATGTTTCTTTTTGCTAATTATATGGCAAGTCTCATTTTTAATCCGATTCATTTCGTCTCAGTAGTTTTTTTCGCCTTTTTTCATCTTAATTTTCATTTGCGTTCCTTAATTGTTGGATTTTCTTATCTTTGACGGATGCGAAATTATTCATTTGAGCCATCTCCCGGAATCATTGCCCATTCTCAGTGATGCCGTAGTGTCATTAAGAATTATTATAAATGCTACTGCTGCGGCTGCTGTTGAAACTTTTATCAAAACATTTTTTTTTGCATTTATATTTTCCTGAATCTCGTCCGTATAATTTGATTAAAAGTTTGAGGGCATTATCGAAAATCCGTCAAAATCCGCACAGATTTTATTATGTTATAAATAAATGCAACGGACATTTTGAAATCAATTCCACCAACAGATTACCAATCATCGGAATAAGTTTTGGTGTGTGTTTTTGCTTTATTCTTCTTTGCGCTTCCAAAGCGCTGCTTCGCTCACACTTTCAACCGTCTCTATTTCTATGCACTTGAAAAGGGAGATCGAAAAAAGCAAGATGAAGCCCAAAGAATAGCCGTTCGATGGAATGGCGTCAGGTAATCAATATTTGCATAAGGCTCGATTTCCACAAAAACGTAGATCCTTCCTTCATTAATGCTATACGATGTGTGGCGGAATTTTTCTGGTCGGTGGTTTATGCAGGAAATTAAAAATTTGCCGCTCTAGTGCGGCTTCGATTCTCTTCTTTTCCCTCTCTGTCTTGGTTGCTTTTTTTCTGTGTTCATGAACAGCTTCACAGTGTTCATTGATTATTTTAAGACTTCCTCTGGCATGGGCAATTGGATGCTAGATATAAGGTTTCGATGGCTGTTGCTTGCTTCTTTCATTTTGCCATTTGCTTCGAATAAAGTTCATTATAAATTGCTAACCGCATGCCAAAATGACGAGAAACTGCTCGAGTTAAGATTTGTTGTTTGAGCCCACCGAATAGAAACGAGGCTTGAGTGGGTAAGATAGAGATGGAGTCTCCATCATGGAGAAAAAAGAACGGAGACGAAAGCAGTACGTGCAATGGCAATAGAAGTAGACGGACGTGGAAAGTGAAAACGACAAAGGCAGCGATGCCAAAAATCAACGACCTTATGCTCCCAACCAATGTGTATACATTTATATTCACTGTGAATATTGTGAAAAGTTCCACATTGAAATGGATTTTAGGTAAAATCGTTCAGTTTTCGGATGATATGGATACGTAAATCTATTCGACGAATATAATCGGGCAAGA